CCTGCTGTTTTTTCAGGCTTTGCTCAACTTCCTTCTTTTCCCCAGATGTCACCCTTATCTGGACCTATTTTTTAAGTCTAGTCTTCCCCTATGTCTGATTCAAGTTACAAGCTATGTTCAGTACTTTCCCACCCTGGTTGAGCCCCCAACCCTGCGATTTCTACCTCACTATCGTCATGGACTGGGTCTGGGGTTGATGACTGGCCTGTAATACCGCCCTGCAATCGCCATGGCGACCGAGGGACGCAGGGATCCCGCCCTTCGATTGTCATGATAGGGGTCTGTGGATGCTGCCTGGCCTGCGCCCCGGCCCTCCTGCCCATCGATTCACATTGCGGGGGTCCGGGGTTGCGCCCTGTGTTGCGCTCCAGCCCTCCCACCATCGATTGCCACGTGAGGGTCCGGGGTTGCTGCCTGTCCTGCCCCCGGCCCTCCCACCCTTCGATTGCCATGGTGGGGGTCTCCGCTTGCTGCCTAGCCTGTTCCCTGGCCCTCCTGACCTCGATCACAACGGTGGGGGTCCGCGGTTGCTGCCTCGCCTGCGCTCTGGCCCTCCTGCACTCCGATCCACATTGTGAATACTAGAAGCAGGCCAGCCAGCAACTATGGCACCCGGGGGTCTGTGGTTGCTGTCTAGCCTGCAAAACCTCCACCCCAGCCTCCTATAGCCATGGCGATCGAGGGATGCAGGCCATTCCGTCCTTCGAAAGCCATGGTGGGGTTCCGCGTTTGCTGCCTGGCCTACGCCCTGGTCCTCCCTCCCTTTGATTGCAATAATGGGGATCCGGGGTTACTGCCTGGATTGCAACACCGCACTCCCACCCTCTGATTGCCATGGTGATCGAGAGATGAGGGCATCCCACCCTTTGATTGCCCTGGTGGGGTTCCGGGGTTGATTCATGGTGTGTGCTCTTACCCTCCCGCCCTCCAATGTCCATGGAGAGGGTCCGGGGTTGCTCCCTGGCCTGTACTCTGGCCATTATGCCCTGGATTGCCATGTTGGGGTTCCGGGGTTGCTGCCTGGCTTGCGCTCTGGCCCTCCCGCACTCTGATCGCCATGGTGATTGTCAGAAACAGGCCAGCCAGCAACCCTGACACCCGGGGGTCCGCGGCTGCTACCTGGCCTGCAACACGGCACTCCCGCCCACCAATTACCATTGCTTTCGAGGGATGCGGGCCATCCTGCCCTTCGATTGCCATGTTGGGGGTCCAGGATTGCTTCCTGGACTGTGCTCCTGCCCTCCCACCCTTGATCGCCATGGTGGGGATGTGGGTTTCATGCCTGGCCCCCGCCCCGACTCTCCCACACTTCGATTGCCATGCTGATAAAGGACATCCCACCAATCATTTCCATGTTGCGGGTCCACGGTTCTTTCCTGGCCTTCACCACCGCACTCCCACCCTCCGATCGCCATGGCAATCAAGGGAGGCAGGCCCTTAACCTTTCGGTTCACATGCTGGGGGTAGGGTGTTGATGCCTGGCCTGCGTTCTGGCCCTGTTGCCCTCGATAGCCATGGCAGGTGTCTGGTGTTGCTGCCTGTCCTATGCCATGCTCCACCCGCCCTTTGATTGCCATGGTGGGGTTCTGTGTTTGATGTATGGCATGTGCTATGGCCCTCCCACCCTCCGATGGCCATTGCGGAGTTCCGGGGTTGCTTCATGGTCTGCGATCCTGCCCTCTCACCTATGATCACCATGGTGGGTGTCCTGGGTTGCTGCCTGTTCTGCACTCTGGGCCTCTCGGCTATGATCGCCATTGTGAGTGTCCTGTAACACCGCACTCCTGCCCTCCTATAGCCATGGCGAATGAGGGATGCAGACCATTCCGCCCTTCAAATGCCATGTTGGGGGTCCAGGTTTGCTGCCTGCCCTGCGCCCTGGCCCTCCCACTCTATGATCACTATGCTGGGGGTTCTCTGTTGCTGCTGGCCTAAGACCTGGCACTCCCGACCTTCAATTGCCATAATGGTGATCCGGGGTTACTGCTTGGAATACAACACCTCACTCCCACCTTCTGATCGCGTTGATGATCGAGGGATGCAGGCCATCCTGCCCTTCAATTGCCATGTTGGGGGTTTGAGGTTGCTGCCTGGCCTGCAACATCACCCTCCTATCCCCACGGCACTCCAGGGAGGCAGGCCCTCCTGCCCTTCGGTGACCATGACGATCAAAGGATTCAGGACATCCTGCCCTTCAAGCTCCATGTTGGGGGTCCGTGGTTGCAGGCTGGCCTGCAACACCACACTCCTGCCCTTTCATCGCCATTGCGATCAAGTGATGGAGGCCCTCCCGCCCTTCGTATGCCATTTTGGGCGCCCATGGTTGATGCCTGGCCTGCGCTCAGGCCAACAAGCCCTCTCATCTCCATGACAGCGGTCCGAGGTTGTGGCCTGGCTTGTGCCAGGGCCATCCAGCCCTTCGATTGCCATGGTGGGCATCCGCGGTTGCTGTCTGGCCTGCGCCCCGGCCCTCCCACCCTTCGATTCCATCCATCCCTTCGATTGCCATGGTGGGCATCCGCGGTTGCTGTCTGGCCTGCGCCCCGGCCCTCCCACCCTTCGATTGCCATGTTGGGGTTCCAGGGTTGATTCACGGTATGCGCTCTTGCCCTCACGCCTTCCAATGTCCATGGTGAGGGTCCGGCGTTGCTCCCTGGCCTGTTCTCTGGCCATTCTGCCCTCGATTGCCATGCTGCATTTCCAGGGTTGCTGCCTGGCTTGCGCTCTGGCCCTCCCACCCTCTGATCGCCCTGGCAATATTCGGAACCACGCCAACCAGCAACCCTGGCACCCGGGGGTCCGCGGCTGCTACCTGGCCTGCAACACGGCACTCCTGCCCACCCATCACCATGGCGAGCTAGGGATGCGGGCCATCCCACCCTTCGATTGCCATGTTGGTGGTCCAGGGTTGCTTCTTGGACCGTGCTTGGGCCCTCCTGCCCTTGATCGCCGTGGTAGGGATCTGGTTCTGCTTGATGGCTTCCCCCCGAGCTCTCCTACCCTTCGATTGCCATGCCGATTAAGGGATGCAGGACATCCCGCCAGTCATTGCCATGTTGGAGGTCCGCGGTTGTTTCCTGGCCTTCAACACCACACTCCCACCCTCCGATAGCCATGGCAATTGAGGGATGCAGGCCATCCCGTCCTTTGATTGCCATGTTGGGGGTCCGCGGTTGACTGCAACACCCTGCTCTGATTGCCATGGTGATCAAGGGAGGCAGGTCCTCCCGCGTTTTGGTTCCCATGGTGGGGGTCGGGTGTTGATGCCTGGCCTGTGTTCTGGCCCTGTCACCCTCAATACCCATGGCGGGGGTCCATGGTTTCTGCCTGTCCTACGCCACTCCCCGCCCGCCCTTTGATTGCCATGGTGGGGTTCTGGGTGTGATGTATGGCAGGTGCTATGACCCTCCCACACTCCGATGGCCATTGAAGAGTTCTGGGGTTACTTCCTGGTCTGCAATCCTGCCCTCCCACCTACAATCGCCATGGTGGGGGTCCTGGGTTGCTGCCTGGCCTGAGCCCCGGCCCTCCCACCCTTAGATTGTCATAGCTCAACCCGAGGTTACGGGGTGGGTTGAGCTCCTTCTCTCCCGCTCTCGATCACCATGGTGGGGGTCTGGGTTGGTGCCTGGCCTGCATCCCTGCCCTTCCGACTTTGATTGCCATGGTGGGGTTCCATGGTTAATTCATGGCATGCGCTCTGGCCCTCCCGCCCACCAATGTCCATGGCGGTGGTCTGGGGATGCTCGCTAGCCTGCGCTCCGGCCCTCCCGACTATGAACACCTTGGTGTGGGTCCGGGGTTGCTGCCTGGGGTGTGTTCCGGCCAGCACACCCACCCATTGACATGACGGGAGTCCAAGGTGGCAGCCTGGCTTGTGACTGGGCCCTCCTGCCCTTTGATTGCCATGGTGGGGGTCTGTGGTGGCTGACTGGCCTTTGCCCTGGGCCTTCCGTCCTTCAATTTCCATTGTGGGGATCGGGGATTGAATCATGGCGTGCGCTCAGGCCCTCTCCCCACTCCATTGCGAGTCTCCTGGGTTGCTCCCTGGCCTGTTCTCTGGCCATTCCGCCCTCGATCGCCATGGTGGGGGTCCGGGGTAGCTTCCTGGCCTTTGCCCCGGCCCTCCCGCCCTTCGGTTTCCATGGTGGGGATCCGGCGTTGATTCATCACATGCGCTCTAGCCTGCCCGCCCTCCAGTGTCCATGGCGGGGGTCCAAGCTTGCTGCCTGGCATGCGCTGTGCCCATCTCACTCTCCTATAGCCATGGCAATTGCCGGAAAAGGGCCATCCTGAAACCCCCACACCCAGTGGACTGTGGTTACTGCTCGGCCTGCAACACCGCCCACCTGCCCTCCGATTGCCATGGCAATTGAGGGTTGGGGG